CCAAATTGCCCCAGGCGGGTCTCGAACCCGCAGGCTCAGGCAATCCACTCACCTCAGCCTCCCAAAGCACGGGATTACAGGCTGAGTCACTGAGTCCAACTGAGTAAGCACTTTCTTTTTTTTTTTTTGAGTTGGAGTCTCATTCTGTCACCCAGACTGGAGTGCAGTGGCCGCTCCCGGCCACCACAGGCTCGACCTGCTGGGCTCCAGCGATCCTTCCACCTCAGCCTTCCAAGTAGCCGGAATTACAGGCATGCGCTACCACACCCGGCTAATTTTTTTTATTTATTTATTGTAGAGATGAGGTCTTGCTGCCCAGGCGGATCTCGAACCCTCGGGCTCAGCAAACCACTCACCTCAGCCTCCCAAAGGCGTGGGATTACAGGCTGAGCCACCGAGCCCGACTCCAGAAAGCACTTTCAAAAGTTGAAATCATTATGCTAAAGCAAGGTATTATGAACTCCACTAGGTTATGCTACTTCAGAAAACATTAGCATTCAACATTTAACTTTTAATGTTTTTTTGTAGAAAAACTGCACATAAAAGAATAAAGAATTCATGCAATCATGCCAAGTAGCCATCAAAATCAATCTTGATGATACTCTCAAGTGGATGTTAGAACTATTTAGTTAATATATAGTGCTTTGTTCTTAAAAATTGTACCTCATCAAGGTGACATAAATGTGATCATGGGAATAGTAAGAACCATGGTGTTCATAAGAGCCTTAAGATTAATTTACACTAAAAATCACATACTTTAGAACAACTCACAAGGAAGACAGAGGAACCACCTTCTTCCTTCCTTGGAGGGCTTTCAAATGGGCTGGATAAGCTTGATTTCAGTGTGGTTTTGCTTAAAGATAGGAATATAAACTTTATGACCTCCCAAAGTCACTTTCAGACTAATGATATTAGCAATTCTAAGAAGGAACAGTTTTATTTTGCCTTCAAGGGATGTTTCTCTCCTGTGCTCTAAGCCAGGATGATCTAGTTAGTGAGGGAGGATGATGTGTTTGGATCAGCTATTAGCAGAGGTGAGTGTGGCTCAGTTCCAATCCTGAAGCTTTCTCCCCTTGTCCAGTGAACCTCGGCTGATGCTGGACACTTGGGGAGGGTCACCTTTAGTCAGCCTCAAAGGCGCTGTTGGTGGCTCCCACATATTCAGACTTCTTCTTGTGCCTTGTCCACATTTTTCGGAGGATGCTGGGGACACCACAGGAAGCACTGCCTGTCAGTGGTAGGGAAGCTTCTGCTCCTTGGGGAAGGGTTGGATACTCTTCGGTCATCTTCTTGAGATGTCTGGATCTAAAGAAAAGCCAGGAGTGGGTGGGAAGGGTGGTCATTTCACTAGGCGAGACTTCATTTTGGCCAGATCTTTCTCTCCCCTCTTCTGCCTGCGACCAGGCTCTGCATAGTGTGAGGGTCACTACTGAGACCCTTACAGGAAGGACTTCCTCTGGGGGAGCCTCTCACGGGTTGAGTGAAGGAGATGGCCCTGAGCACATTGGTTCATGGGACCTCAAGCACTGCTCCTGTTCCCCTGCTCTGGGTCTGGCCTTGCCAAAGGCTCTACATCCTTATCCTCCTGCCTCATGGAGACAGTGGACAATCTTGTTGGAGAGGGCAGATGTCCCAAAACATCAACTATTGAAAGAGCATGAGCCCTGGGATGGTATTCTGCTTCCCACCCACAGGCAAGTGACTGAATCATGGCCTTACTTTCTTCATGTGCAAAATGGGACGATCGCATCCAACTCATGGGGCTTTTGGGAGGAGGAAGATGAATATCATAGATGAGCACCTGTGATGAGCATTCAGCACATCATAGATGCTCAATACATGTCCACTTTTCTCCCCACTTGTTCTCCTTAGGTGAAAGAAAAGGCTTTACTTTTTCATAGTCAGGGTCCAGGAACAAGCTGAAATAAGAATGACTGAGTTTGGAGAGAAATGAGCCATTTAGAACCTTTGTGATACAGCTGTGTGTACAGAAATGTTGGTGTGCTGCGAGGTTTTTGCTGGTTTACACCAGCAGCTAGCAACAACTATTGCCACTTAGAATAATGTGCTACTGGGTTGTAAAATAATCTGGGTTTTTTTTTTAACTTCTCTCCAATTAAGTACCCATGCATTAAGTGACACATTCCTACATGACTTGGTTTTTAATAATTCTTTCTGGCCAAACTTTTGTCATCCAGTGCTCTGATCTACTGCTTTCAAAGTGTGTACCGCTCGGCCTCCACTCCAGTTTAGTTCATGGCCACTCATACATGAGCAAACACATTCCCAAGTACACAGCTTTCCAACTACTAGAGGATAAGTTTCTTAAAAAATGTTAATAACAATCTGTGCTAAGCTCTCCACACGTTATCTCATTCAGTTATCACAATAACCCCTAAAGAGGGGCACCCTGTCATTCATGTTTCACTATTTTGTTTTTTCTTTCTTTACTTTTCTTTTCTTTTTTTTTAAAGATGGGTACAGGGGGATTGAATAACTTGCCTGAAGTTGTGACAACTCAGTGGCAGTGCCAGGCTAGAAAGCAGAGCTGAGGGAAGAGCCCAAACCTTGCCCACACCAAGACTCCTTTTCTGCTGCCTATGGTTTGGAGGACATAGTCAGGTGCATAGACGTTCATGCTGAATTAAAGATTTGCTGTCCCGGTGTGAGGCTGATGGTATTGTTAACTGAGGGGTGTTGGGGATTATCCGTTCCTGACCCTGCTGGTTCTGAATCAGAATGAGCAGTTCCATGAGGGTTGTAAGTTTGGTTTGAAACCTTTGTATTTGATACATTCTTCACCTGTGGGCAGGGAGCCTGGACCTACTCTTGAGTCATTTCTGCCACCTGTGTGTCTACAGGAGGCTCTGAATATGGCTTGTGTTGCATTCATTTAATTAGCCAAAAACCTTCCCAAATGACACTTCGCCAAGTCTAAATAGCGGCGGTAATGAAGTGGAAACCATGAAAAACACTCCAGCTTAATCCTAGGGAAACAGTTGATGAGGCGCTACAGAGACCCAGGATTATGGCCTCATTAAAAGGTAATTTGCAGCTGACATGGGTTAATGTTAGCATCTCCAGACTCTGTCAACCAGGCCACCTGTTGCTTTTCTGGGGCAGGACCAGGATGGGTGGAGCCCACAGGCATAGCACTTACCCTCTCATCAGAACACCTCCCTTCTCTGATCCTGTGGCTGCCGCATCCACTGGAGCTTTCACAGATATCCGGGGCACTGGAGGAATCTGTGTGGTGAGGAAGAGGGAGGGAATGTGAGGATGTATCCACTTTCCCACTCTGACACTGGAACCGCTTGAAAGGGGGATGACTGAATCCAACCAAGCTGGGCAATAGTCCTCGCCCTTCAGCAGGGGCCAGACTCCCCTGGTGGCATTAGTAGATCAGTGCTGGGCCCCACCTCAGCTTCTGAGTCGGCAGGGCTGATGTGGCCTGAGAATCTGCATTCCCAACAGGTTCCCAGGTGCTGCTGGTGCTGCTAGTCCTGGGACCCCACTTTGAGAACCACTTACCTAGAGAAACTTGAGAGAGCACAACTCAATCTTATGTAACAACTGTTGCCCTCACACCTCCAGCAATGTCAAGTCCTGAAGATTCTTCCTTTGCATAGGCTGCCTAGACTAGGGCCAGCCTCTGTTTCCTCTGCTGCGGCCTTCAAGGGACAGTTACCTCGGACGTCCTTGTTTCTGATCAGAGCTGCTACAGTCTTCATGTCCTTCCTGTACTCTAGAACTGTAAGGGCTCCCTCTTGCAGGGCAGACGGAGGCCAACTCTGCAGCTGCTCATCAAGGCTCCTCCATGCCTGACTCCACTTCACCTGTGCAGCTGGGCCTTCTGTTCGTCCCTGGGTGCATCAACAGTTCCGCTTCCAGTTCCAGCAGGCAGGATCCTGCCTTCCCGGAGGCTGAAGCACAGCTCTGTGCCTTTTCTCCGCTCTCTGGATGGAGACCTCATCTCTGTCTGCTCTTCAAGGCCGCTTCCTCCAGGAATCCTTCCCTGAAGCTAGTGGCCCAAGTTGATCTTTCTGTTTGCATATCCTCACAGCACTGAGTGCCTGTGTGACACGTTTTGGCATTCTGCCCATTCTTTTTATGGCTCTTTGCTTGTTTGTTTCACAAGTTTGTTCAGTCTCTGCATGGCATATGGTAGCATCTGCGACTTAACCTCTTTGGGAGCCCTCCTTAGTCCTCCTGAAAGAAGGTGGCAAGTACTCAAGAACATGCAGTGAATTGAAAATTAACTGAGGGTTTACACGGGGCTAAATCCAGGGTTGCTTAGTCAACAGACACGTGCTATGCTTTGTTCTTCTGCCCTAATCCCCATTGAAGACTTCAAGTCATCACATTTCTAAAATTGCTGGGAAACTGTAGGTCAAGGGCACCATTATTCACCACCTCCTTCTCTCCTGAGCTGGCGAAGATTGTGGGCAGAGTTACTGTGCCACCTTGTGGTCTCTCTGGAGTGCTTTCTCTCCATCTTGGGGGGTGTGAACATACACCCACTCTGGAGGAGAGGCCTTTCTTCCCACTCCTTTTGCCTCTTTTCTTGACCCAGTCTCATCCAGTACATTGAACTGTTGAGTCAGATTTAGCTGTGTGGGCTCAGGATCAACTCCTGCCCCAGGGTCACGGGTCTCTGATGAGTTGCAGGACCCCCGCTCCACATCTCCTGGCTCAGAGGATGGGGTTAGTTATGCTGCCTCTTTCTCTTCTTCACTGCTACTGCTCTCCTCTCTGTAACCGCACCCCCATCACCACCCTATACCATCCCAGCTCCCTCTGACCTCCCGCTGCAGCTGCCCTTCCACCAAGGGCACTGTCTGAGCCCAGCCTAAGTGCTGGGGGCAGTAATCCAAGACCACAAGCCATCCGTTTCCCCTTGAAAGACCTTAGTCTTTCTCTGAGCTCAGGTGAGGGCAGCTGTTGGAGCTGTCACAGCCTGACAATCTTCACTGTCTACTGCCCAGACATCCTGGCTTCCCAAGCACAAGGTTAGGGAAGAGGTCTCCCTGACAAACAGCGTGTACCATCCCTGTCATTTGTGTGGCTTTCCAAGAACAGCGATGACCTAAATGAGATCCCTGGCTTAGGTCTCCTGCCCAGACCAGGAGTGAAGTACCCACATCTTTGTCCAATTTGTTCTGTAAGGATGAGGGGCTGGCACAGACGATGTCTTGGGTCTCTTCTAGTTCTCTCATTGAACCATCTATGAATCTCAATAGCTGATATGAAAGATGCCTGTGTTGACATCTATTCTAGCCATTGCTGACTCTGCTAACCAAGAGGAAATCTAACATTCATGCCAGAACACAACAAAGGAAATGCACCCATAGGCCTTCAAGGAAGGACAGCTGCCCAACTATGGGAGGGAGGATAGCAGAGTGAGTAGCAGAAGGCTTTAAGATCCTGCAGGTTGGCCTCAGCTACAGTGGGCAACCTGGCCAAGGTCACAGCCTTCCTGGGGCAGCCCACATGCCATGATGAAGGGATGATGGGAAAGAAAAGCTTGGCCATTTTTGACCCAACACAGACCAGTATGGGTGGGCAACCCTTGTCCCAGAGTCCCCCATTAGGAGGTGATAAGCCTGCATCACAATTCAGCAGCTCTCCCCACCCAACCCTGACTGCTTACTCCTGTCCCCAAACACCAAATCTCAGAGAACCTGGCCTATAATAGATGCCCCCAGAGGCATTCCTGTCCTGAGGTGACCGGTTATGTACTGAATGCTTGTGTCCCTCCAAACTCATATGTGGAAACCCTAATCCCGAATGTTATGGTACGAGGAGATGGGGACTATGGGAGGTAATTAGGTTTAGATGAAGTCATTAGAGTGGAGCCCATATGACAGGATTAGTGCCCTTCTAAGAAGAGGAAGAGACACCAGAGATCTCACTCTTTACATGTGCATAGAGAAAAGGCCATGTGAGAAGGTGGCTGTTTGCAGGCAAGGAGGAGAGCCATCGACAGACATTGAATCTGCTAGCAACTTGATCTTGGGCTTCCCAGAACTGTGAGGAAATGTTTTTTTTAAGTCACCCAGTCTATGGTATTTTATTATAACAGACTGAGCTAAGACACTGGTGTTTTGTGTTTTCACAGTGCTTGAGAACCTTACATCTCTTTCTGCCTGTAACTGCACCTGGAAATTAGGCAGACATTTCCGCCTGGCAGGGGCTTATGTTAGAAACCAGTTCTTTTCCCCATGTATGAGATGTCCTTTGGATAGTAGCTTCTCCTGCATTGCCGAAGAGCTGAATTTCTGGCAAGAAAGAGAGAAGCAGCTAAGGATAGTCCAAAAGGGCACAAAGCAGGACCAACTTAGACCTTTCAGGAGCAAAGACCCACCATTATGCTTTTCTAACAATCCTCAGGCCTGGAACAAAGGACACTTAGACACTTAGTCTCTCTTCATGGCACAGTAGAATCAGACGTGACGGGAAGCTTAATGCACAACAGATACAACTAGTCAGCCTTATTTTACTTACCAAAGATTTTCCATATGCTCGATTCCCACACAGATTTGATGCTTTGGGTTCAGAAATCCCCCCTGCAAAGTTGAACAGAGAGATATGACTCAGTGGTACTCCATGTTCTGCTCTTCTCTGGTTCTGGATCAATTACCTTATCAGCCAATCAACCACAGCAGGGAATTTCTAAAGACCTTTGTACCAAGCAGCAACATCAGGCGATAGGGTCAGGCAATGAGGCAACTACCTCTTCTGAGGGGACAGGAACTAAGGTCTAACTAAGACCAGTATGTCTATGTAGGTTCACTGACTACAATACATGTCCTATTCTTGTAGGGACTTTTGATAATAAGGGAGGCTGTGCATGTGTGGAGGAAAAAGGTATATGGGAAGTCTCTGTACCTTCAGCTCAATTTTGCTGTGAACCTTAATGCTGCTCTAAAAAAAAAGTCTATTTTTACAGAGAACACACATGTGGAAGCATTTAGCACTGTGTCTATATGTAGTAGGTGCTCAGAGAATATGCCCTCAGCTCTCCCTTCCTTCCTAAAGCCTCAGATCACATGAGGTTAAAGAGATTTAAGTCCCAGGAGTTAAGTCTTTACAGCTGGATTAATGATCTAACACGATGCTCCTGGACACCCCTTTAAAAACGAATAGAGAAGTCAAGTCTGTGGTGGGAAGTGCAGCCCCATAATGTGGTAGGATTAGAGTTTATCAGATCCAGAGACATTAACTTTACAAGATGTATGGGCAGAGAACTTTCTTTCTATGCCTTTATTCCTGATGTATCAACCTACTTCTGAGTAATTTCTATCCTGAAGCCCGCAGTGTCTAAGGGTTCAGGTGTTAAGCTGAGGTAGCTGAAAAAATGTAGGGGAAAGCTGGCTTTCAACACAGGTCTCTCTGGGGGCAGATGTTCCAGGACTGGCCACGCTTTATTAAACTACAGCATGTAGAAATAAAACAGCTCCCACCACAGGAAAACACCACTTCAGTGTTGATAGAATAAAATATTATGAGATTAAACCATATGAACAATGCCCTGGCATAAGTAATAATAATAATAGCAGCTCACATTTTTGTCTGCATGTCAACTAGTGTGCTGAGTGGAAAACACATGAGTATTACCTCATTTGTTACCACAACACTAAGAGGTAGATATCATAATAGTTCACTTTCTAGTTGAGGAGACTGAGACTTTAGTGATACATAACAATTATGACGAAGACAAGTAAGGATGATTTAGGGAGCAGTGAACTGACCTCTTTGGTGGTCTTTTGGTGTCACAGGATGTGGCACTGGATAGGTCCTTGTGATCTGGAGGGCGGGGGGG